TCACTTTCATATGCTTTTAAAGATCTAAATAATATTATTATTTCTCCTGTATGAGTTGTCCTATTTTAAGTCATTTATTGAATTTCCTGCACTCAGGCAATAAGTATTGCAGACATACATATGGGCCAGGCGAAAATTTAAATGTCAAGGGTAATCTAAACTAGTAAAATAATTGTTCCCACTTCTATAAGCCTTCCTTAGGAAGAATTAGAGCGTACATAAAGTTCATATTTTTATTAACTTTGTTTTTGCAGTTTTTTTCCTTTCTTTATCTTTCCAATTTCTGGGTATTAAAATTAATATGAATATGAAAATAAATTAATTCCATATTATTTGTGTACCATGCTATTATTCTCTTACATCAGAGGCAAATAACATACAAAAGTATATATGCTAGTTATATATTAATTACTATATATTGATTTGGATGAAGAGCAAACCGTAAGAACAAGTCACCTCTTAAGAAAATACTAATAAACTATATTAAATGTGATGGAACGTATTTCCAGCAACAAACAAGGTCAAGCATATCTTCTTTATCAGAAGATATTAAAGCAGATTTTATGATGTCAGAATCATATAACCATAGCTCTCATATATATACTGTTCTGACAATTTCAGTCAGGAAGTAGAATGTTAGGAATGTGAGAAATTATCCAATTGTATGCTTGAGGTTTTGCCCATTTGCTCAATGTCTTAGTGATATTAAATTAGACAGAGTGAGACCTCACTTTTCAATATCCTTTAGTGACCATAAATTATATGTGTATATATATGATGATCAGCACTGCTATCTAAATGGTCCAACTTTCCTGTTCAGATGTACAGTGGCAAGGAGACTCAGAAAGTTGTCTTACACATCCTAATATACACTTATTTTATTTATTTATTTATTTATTTGTTTAGATTTATATGCCAAGAGGATATTTCTTTCTCCGAGAGGACTCAGGGCGGCTCACAACAATAAAACAGAAAAATAAAACAAAAACCCCGGGTTAAAAGTTACACATAAAATCGCTAAAATCAATTAAAATCCATTTTAAAAACTCCCATCAGTCCAGGCCGGCCAGGCGAAATAGCCACGTTTTTAGTTCGCGGCAGAAAGAGCGAAGGTCGGGGGCTATCCGGAGCTCCAGAGGGAGCTGATTCCAGAGGGTGGGTGCGCCCACAGAGAAGGCCTGCTCCCTAGGGGTCGCCAGCTGACACTGTCTGGCCGACGGCACCCCGAGTAGGCCCTCTCTATGGGAATGCACCGGGCGATGGGCAGCTGTTGCTGACCGCAGAAGGTCCGCCAAATACCCCGGTCCTAAGCCATCAATCAAGTATAATGTTATAGTTTTCTCCCAATCTTACAAGCATACAGAAGCATGGCTAGGAAATGTATCCAAGACTGACCTGTAAAGATCTGAAATCATATTATAAACCTTAGGGGGAAAATGACATACAATGGCATCCATTTAACAACAGGAAATACAACCCCCAAATTTTATCTCTGAAGAATGCTCTCAGCAAACATTATTACTTTGTGAGTTATTTGTTTATTTATTTCAGTTTTAGGCTACTCAACCATGAATGACTCTGGGGGCTAGCCGTACAACAATATAAAGACAGTAAATAAACAAGAACGATACCAGATTCAGACAAAAATAAAGGAAGAAGAGTAAATGGAGAGAGAGAGAGAGGGAGGGAGGGAGGGAGCGGGAGATAGATTGAACAAGTGGGCTCCAGGCATTTTAGCCCTGCTACCGATAACAAAACCATAATATATATATTTTTAAAAGAGCAACAGCTTAAGTACATTTTGCTTACAGGTGAAAATAACTACTTTGGTTTTAAGACAATCAAACTGAAATTTTGCCACTAACTTTAGACCAAATATGACAACAGACTATTGGCAAAGTTGAAGCAAACAGTGTTATTTATACATCTTACTATCTAGTAATACGAAGAAGAATCTCTGTTCAATTATATGGTTTTTCTTTCTTAACAACTCATCTTTTGTGCTCAGAGTTTTTTTTCTTCTTAAAAAAAAACATGCATCTTTATTTTGCTACTGGGCTCCCAGGCTCTGTTATATTCAAGAGTAGGTTTAAGGATGCGAAAGCTCAAGGAGCAAGGGTGAAAAAAGAATGGGCAGTCATTTGAATCAGTGAGTGACAGGTTGGACCAGCTCTCCGTATACATTAATAAATTAGAATTTTAATTGTGTCTCCAACTGCAGAAGCAGCTCCGCTGCTTTAATATGTACCAACAATTGGCTATGTTATGGAATCTGTGACGTGGCCCTCGCTGTTGACCTCCGAAACACAATTCCCACTCTGACTGCGGAAACTGTTTGGTTTGATCCTTTCAACTTATTTGAATCCTGACAAATAAGCTCATAGCTGAAAGGTCAACACAGTCATATTTCATCCTCTGGAGCAATTCTTAAGACATCTGCACAACAAAGCACTTCTTCTAGTACCTGACACTGGGCCTTGCCAGCACACTATCTCATTAAAATGTCTCCAGTAGAAGAGTCTATTAAAAGGCAAATGGCTAAGATATGGATTGGCCAAATAACATTTTTTTTCTCTGAGATTTTAGCAAAAGGACATGGATTCAGCATTCAACATCCATAATAATGGTTTTCAATGCGCATTTGCCAAGAAGCAAAACAGTTATTCCTTTCCAAATATAATAAACCAAAGGATGGAGTAACCCAGGATCAAACTTGATCAGACCCATGGATTCTAACCAACCCTCTAAATATTACCTACTTCCTGGTTGTTAGCCAACAACCTACTCTTCCAGTTTCATCAGCCACACAACTAATCAGTGTATAGAACTTATGTGCTGAGTTTTGTGTGTGTGTGTGTGTGTGTGTGTGTGTGTGTGTGTGTATATATATATATATATATATATATATATATATATATATATATATATATATATATATATATGTAGGTCTTTGGTTATTCGGGTCTTCTCCCACGTAAAATTGGAAGTGTCTTGGCGACGTTTCGACGAAGTCTCATTCGTCATCTTCAGGCTGGTGTTCTCGGCTTCCTGCTTCCAGGAGCAATGTGAGATCGCAGCTGTCTCTTCCTTTTAACTGCTAGTGGAGGTGTGAGCTGATTGGGTGGGAACTTGGCTGTGTTCTGATTGGGTGGAGGTGTGTTCTGATTGGTTAGGGGCTTGGCTGTGCTCTGATTGGCTGATTGGCTGGGGTTGTGTTCTGTTTGGGTGGGGGCTTGGTTGTGCTCAGCTTAGTCAAGCTTAGTTGGAAACCCGCCCTTATTGACAAACGAGTCCCTAACACGACGAATGACACCAGACCCACACTCATGAGTGCCACACCTGATGTCACCACCACACATCCACGCAGAAAGCAGACTCAAACCCACACTGATAATGAGCCACGACCAAGGACCAGAAGCCAGACCGCAGCTGCATCATTAGCCACTTTAAACCCGTCCAATCCATACATGAAGCAGACTGACACCCACCATGAAGAGCTCGCACGGCCACAAACACGAAGCCAAACAACAACAACGCAGCTCACCAGCTCAAATCCCCCTGCAACTCAGACTAAGCTGAGCACAACCAAGCCCCCACCCAAACAGAACACAACCCCAGCCAATCAGAGCACAGCCAAGCCCCTAACCAATCAGAACACACCTCCACCCAATCAGAACACAGCCAAGTTCCCACCCAATCAGCTCACACCTCCACTAGCAGTTAAAAGGAAGATACAGCTGCGATCTCACATTATATATATATATATATATATATAAATATAAATAGGAAAACAGCACTAAAAGCAATAATGCACTTCACGTCATTTTGGTAATAAAGTTTGACTATGATCCAAAAATACGTGAACAGAGAGGACTTCAAGGAAGGAAAGTTTCGGAATAATGTCATATTAAGCACAGAAGACCATATATTCTACCTTTTTTCTCATAACCCTGGGTACCGAATCTCACAAGTTTTGAAGGGATTCTAGAATGAACTGCACAGAGATTATTAGAATCTTTGTTGTCACTGGATACATCTAATATTTAGAAATAAAAGTAGCACATTTCATATAAAGAACCTGTTAGTAATACCAAAAGAAACTCAATTGACTAAGCCAATTTCAACTAACATCACTCATCTTTCCTCGAAAATGTAAACTGAAACAGTAAATCACCTACTTAATGCAACTATCTTTTTTGAACCAACATAATATTGTATTGGCCAGTGATTTGATCTATAGCAATATGGAATTAAACAATTTAAATGGTTTCCTACAAAGACTGCTCAACCGATATTGAGTATTCAATTGAAAATATATAATTTTCACAAACATAATAAATATTGGGAAGTTTCCAAACAAAAACACCATCTCACTAGAAAATTGTCTCATGCGTTTATAATAGCATTTCACAATGCTGTTTCAAAGCAACAGTGGTTTCTGGATTATAGTTTGTCATATGCCCTTATTTCAAACACTATCTATTCTTTCCAAACCTTTTATTTAGAGAATAATTAATACACCCCTTTTAAGAGTATCACATATCAACGGTGCATGATAGATGGTCTTTCTGTCAGAAATGGTCTCCTTTGATGATCTCCTTCATAGGAAGCTGCCTTATTCTGATTCAGACCATATAACCATTTATTGTTTTCTATACTATCTGACAGAGGCTCTTTAAGATTTCAAAGAGTGGTGATGTTCAGCTCTACATGGAAATGTAAAGAACAGAATCTTCTACCTGCCTGAATCTTTCCAAGCTCTTTTCATGTTCCTCACAAGTTCTTTGATTTATTGATGAAAAATTCAAGACTTTGCAGCCCTGATTCATTTCTACTACTACAACCATGCTATGAAACTTGTTTGAATCACGAACATCAACGGAAGCAAAGTTAAACATTTTTAAAAAGTCATCTTCCAACTATTTATACCATTTGCATCCTTTTAACATATCTTATTCAAGCAAGTCAAATGTATTTTTTAAAAAACAAACATTTCTTACCTGAAGGGCTGGCTGTTTGTCATTCCTCTTGGGAGACTTTAGCCCACTAACTTGTTGCTGTTGTTGATGCTGTTGTTGTTGTTGTTGCTGCTGCTGTTGCTGTAACAGAAGTTGTCTTGCTACCTGAAGAGCCTGAGGAAATATATAAAATAAATTAGTTCTATTTAACTTAACAAAATGCTCGTTTTCGGCTTGAGCAGGTAGTTGGACTAGAACAGTGATGGCTAACCTTTTCCGGACCAGGTGCCCGAAACATACATGCAAATTACTTTCCAAAAATGCAATGCGCGCATGGCTCCCCGCATGAGCGTGCAGCCCCCTGCATGCGCCCTGTGCATGCACTCGTTTCACCCCCGCAAGTGCCCCGCACATGTGTGGCAGAGACCCGAAGACCAGCTGGCTGGCAGGAGGCACACACGCATGCGCGGTGGAGCTGAATTAGGGCGACGGCTCACGTGCCCACAGAGAGGGCACTGCGTGCCACCTCTGGCACGCGTGCAATAGGTTTGCCATCATGGGACTAGAAGACCTTCAAGGTCCCTTCTAACTCTGTTATTCTGTTCACAACAGGCTGGGCTTGTCTAAAATAGGGTGGACTATTTTTTTTTCCTGCTAGATCATGTTGCATAAAGAAGCCATCAAGTGAAGCCTTCATAAGGCTTTAACCACTTCTATGAACACAGCAACTATGTTTTATTAACATGGTTTTTTGTTTGAGATCTATGTGAATGCAACCATTATGTATGTATATGCCTTCAAAGCTAACCCATCAAAGAAGCACCACTAGGCTGGCCCAGAAGTTACTCTCTTTTTTGAGAATGGGGATTAGTCTATGAAATAGGTTGTTTTTCATTTTCACTTTTTTTATATTAACACTATACAAACAATAACACTAACAGGAAAAAAACAGCGGTGGTCAGAAAAGAACCGACATAAATTGTGATGATTAAAATAAATTAAACACATCAAAAAGGAAAGAACAGAAATGGACAAAAAATTAATGAAAGGGAAAAAAAAGATATATCCATTTAATATCAACACATAATTAACCCACAGAAATTACTCAATAAAATTCCAACAGCAGTATAGCAAAGCCAAAACAGCTGAATTGTAATGATGATCTCAATCAACTCTCAATGCTATCATCCTATTGTTGAAAGAATTCAGTATTATCCCAATGCACTGAAAAAAAAGACTGGCGTTTTTATAATACAGCATGTTAGTTGGCTTCTATGTATATAATCATTTTAAAATCCGATGAGAAGAATCAGTTTATGTAGAAGACAGTTATTGGTGAGACCATTTTGTCACTGTTTCACATTATAACGAGACATCAATAGCCTCCTTTTAAAGCCATCTCAAAGAACATAAATGCAGTATCTCACAGAGAAACAGACATTTAAAATAACAGTATCACTGTTCCTTGGCAAACTCTGAAAAAGTTCTGTTTGGCCATGTTCATACATTCCATTTCTTCTTGATCTCTAGGAAGAAATCAGGAGGTGATCTCAGGATCATATTTTCTCACATTTACCCTTCTTGCTTTGCTGCTGCTTTGTCTGTGTTAAAGAGAAATAAATAAATGAACTGGGAAATCCTGTGTTTCTATGGACACTGGACTCCCTTTAACATAAAAAAAAAAATTAAACTTTGTTTTTTTTTACTAGAGTTAGACAATAATTGCATATCTATGCTATTGACTTTTGCCCGTGTTGTTAACAAGGTTATTGACCTTGTTATTTCAAATAACCTCATATTCATTTACATATTTAAGTAACGTCTGTTAAACAGTGACTTTGGCCGTTCAGTATTCGATCCACTCTTTGACTGTTATGAAAACATCAGTTAACAACCCAAGTACTATCTTTACAATTCAAACAAGAACTGGAATGCTATATATTCAAGGACCCTGCCTAGTTTCAAGGGGGATAATGCACCCCCATGTAATAAATCAGCAATAGCCGGATCTAAGAAACAGTGGCAAGGGAAACTATAAAAGGAATTGGGATGCCAGTGCCACAGCTGAAGATACATTTGGAATTTTTGAGTATGTAGCAGGTGATAAAACCTGGAGACTGGGGAAAAGAACAAAGAGATTCATGAAGTGTATTCCTATGTAGCTCACTCCAAGGAAACTAAAGGACTCACCAACATTTCAGATATGAAGGAGAAAGCCTGCTTGTAGGAGCCAGAAGGAAATTAATGCCTGTAAGAGGACAGCTGGAAGCTTACATGCCTCAAGGACGTGTCCCCTGCTTGCTGCCTCATTGGAGGATTCACCATTGCTGGACTCAAGGGTTTCCTGGTCTCCTTGGAGATGTTCAGTACATGCGTAGGTGTTAACAGTGGGAAGAGTAAAGACTTCATCAATGTAAAAGAAGAAAGAAATAGTCCTGTGCAAGATGCCTACATGGAAAGAGGGAGGGAAGCATCCTTCGGCATATGTTCACTGAGATGCTAAAGCTGAAGCTGATTACATGGTATTCTTGAATTTATTTAGTTCCATAGGTTGGAAAATATGATCAACTATTAATTAAAAAAGAACAGTGACCAGTAACTATAATAAGCAAAGGAAGACTCATATTTCTTAACAAAGATCCAGACTGTTCTGTTTCTATTTCTACTTTGACATACTACTCTAAAATACACTATAAATATCTGAACAAAGACAATTTTCAGTATGAAAGAGAGTATCTATCTGGCATAAAAGAAGCACTGTCATGAACAATTTCAGTCTAAGATCCATACATGGATACCAGAATAATAGATTCAATGAAATGTAAACTCTAATAACATACCTATAACATTCCTTGGCATCCACACTTATATTTATTTTGGCTCATTATCAAACAAAGATCCTGAAAAGTACAATGTCATTTCCCCAACCTTCTACCTTCAAGACACACTGGACTACAATTCCCAAGATGCCAACCTAGATGGCCCCCACAGGTCATGCCCATGGGGGCAATGATGGGAATTGTAAAGAAACAAGTACTGTATGTATGTATGTATGTATGTATGTATGTATGTATGTATGTATGTATTTATTTATTTATTTATTTATTTGTTTCTTTGTTTATTTATTTTATATGCCGCCCTTCTCCGGAGACTCAGGGCGGCTTACAATGCGTTAAGCAATAGCCTTCATACTTTTGTATATTTATACAAAGTCAGCTTATTGCCCCCACAAACTGGGTCCTCATTTTACCTACCTTAGAAAGGATGGAAGGCTGAGTCAACCTTGAGCCTGGTGAGATTCGAACTTACAGTAATTGCAGACAGCTGATGTTAATCACAATGTTTTTAGTCTGCTGAGCCACCAGGCCCTGTACCTTGTATAACCTAGTGGAGCATTGCATTCAGATGGTGGAACCAAAAAGGGACTGGGTGGGTGGGTGGGGGAGAAACAGATGCTCAAAATTAAAAGTAAAGGAATGGGTGGCAATTTTTGTTAAGTTTTTAAAATCTGAGTTGATGTGGTTTAGTAGCATTCATTGCAGATCCCTTCTGGTACTTTGCATGGGTTCCAAGATGCTGCAGGGATATTCACAGTCAGGACTTCTGGTATTTAGAGCCACTGAGTATATAATTAAATTAAACCACAGCGAGCTGACAACACCTCACCAAAGCACAAGAAGAGGATGTTATCCTTTCTCCATCTTAAACTTAATGTTTGTAGAAAAGACTAGGGGAGTGCTAATAGTAACCTTTATTACAAGGTCAACCCATGTCATCTGTTCAATTGTTCAGTTTAACTCTCACCTTCTCTAGCTGCTTCAGAGAATCTCAGCTCACCCTTGACCCAAAATTCAACTGCTTGCCCTGTAATTCTAAAGGCTAATCAACAGTTATTACTTCTCTGGAGCTAGACAAGAAAGAGGAAGAGCACCGAAAAGAAAGCAAGTTGGCTAGCGTTGGGCTTGTCTGCCCACCCTCCCATCCTCTAAGACAGCGTGTGACTTTAGACGGTCTTTATGAAATTAGCTGTCAGATCTCCATTCAATCTTAATGGTCACCAACTCTTATTATGCTGACTTCTGTCCTCTAATGCAGCTTGTCAACTGTTGCATCAAGAGCTTTTAAGTAAGCTTTCTGTCTCTTTTAGCACATAAACTGTAGATGAGAAATGAGGTCACGTTTTTGGTCACTGCAAACGGCTTATTTTTATAGACTAGGCTAGGGTAATACAATCCATTCAAAAAGAATGCCTTCTTTTTTAAAAAAAAAATTGATGGGCTTTTATGAATCTTCAAGGCCGTAAACATTCCTCATGGAATGGCATAGATTAACTCATTTGGGGTATGAGTAGGTAGATACATAGGTTTTCAAAGGAATATTTCTCAACACACCTTATCTCGTCTGGCAAGCTGCCATGTAACTCGTTTCCAACCCCAGTACAAGGCAAAACTTAGCAGAGAGTCTCTCAGAGTCCCAGAACAAACGAATTGTTTCCTGCAAAAGCCCACTCCCTGTTCGCTCCTCTTTTATTTCCTATGGGAGGGGCCAATAACCTCCAAGGTGTGGCTTTACCCCTGAGTCAATCCTGCTTTCTGAGTTGTTCTTGTCTTCTGGCAGCTCTGCGCATGCGCACACTGGGAACGAGCTCCAGCTGTTCCTCTGCCTTGCTGCTGTCTAACTCCTTCTCTGCCTCTGACGCAGAGCCCTCGTCCGAGCTTTCCCCAGCCCCCAGGACTGGCCCAAGTTCCTCCCCAACCTCCTCACTGTCTGACTCTGCTGCCAGCTCTGCTGGCCACTGGCGGACCACAACACTTGGGCTTGTCGATCTGAAGGTCGGCAGTTCAGCGGTTTGAATCCCTAGCGCCGTGTAACGGGGTGAGCTCCCGTTACTTGTCCCAGCTTCTGCCAACCTACCAATTCGAAAGCACATAAAAATACAAGTAGAAAAATAGTGACCACTTTGGTGGGAAGGTAACAGGCTCCATGCACCTTTGGCGTTGAGTCATGCCAGCCACATGACCACGGAGACATCTTCAGACAGCGCTGGCTCTTCGGCTTAGAGACGGAGATGAGCACCATCCCCTAGAGCCGGAAACGACTAGCAAGCATGTGCGGGGGAAACTTTATCTTAGATAGATACATATTAGCATAGAAGCATGTCTGTTAGTACTATG